TCTCACGAATTGTTGAGGTTGTTTTATGCGCACTGTGCGTGGGTTGATTCTTAATTGTGTTCGTGCGCACGCATGCGTGGCGGTCATGACGAGCGTGTGTGTGATGAAGCGCGTGTGTGTGATGAAGTGCGTGTGTGTGATGAAATACGTGTCTGATGAAGCGAGTGTGTGATGAAGTGCTTGTAATATAATTCAGATACTCGAAAATTAACTCATCCGGATTATGTAATAGGTTGTCAATTGCGGCATTACATGACGCATGAAATTTGTTCGAGATAACAGTAAAAACTTGGAAACGAATGTTCGAAAGTGCGAGAAGTCAAGGTATAAGAGCCTACACGTGCCCACTGCGTGCAGCATAAATACAGAGTGCCTTGGAACTGGTACATGAAACTGCACGGTAGTATTCAATTTAATTTTGGCGACATGTCATCACACGCATAAGATTCAGTCGATGTTGTGATGAACAAACGCTGGCCACAGGTACTCACCCCTCCTCCCCTCCTCCCCACAGCATTATCCCCCTCCACCCCTGCTCCCCTAAACCCAATAATATTACATTTCCCCCCTATACTCCCACAGCATTACCTCAAGCCCTCTCCCCACAGAATTACCTCCACCTCTTCCCCGTTGAATTACCTGCACAGCAATACCCCCTCCTCCCCACTTCCCCAAGCCCCAAAGAGGCTGCACGGCTGTTCTGCCTGGTCAGTTTTTGCCCCGCCGTTCCTGCCTTTCCACGAAAAACCCCGCGGGGATTTTTTTTACAGGCCGTGCAGAGACATGCCGGCGCCGGGCTCTCCGTGCCCACTTTTGTGCTGTGCTCTTAGACCCACCGACCCTTCAGACTCAGACCCCACCGACCCTCAGAACCCCAGACACCCCCGACCCTCAGAACCCCAGACACCCCCGACCCTCAGAACCCCAGACACCCCCGACCCTCAGAACCCCAGACACCCCGACCCTTCGATGTCTCAGACCGTCAGACCTCCTCAGCCCAGCTGACCCTCAGATACTGAGACCTTTCACACCCTCAGACCCTCAGCCCCACCGACCCTCAGACCATCAGACCCCTTCAGCCCCGAAAACTCTCCAACCCCCTCTGATCCTCAGACCTCCGTAGACCCTCCGCCCCCCTCAGACCCCGACCGACCCTCAGATACTAAGACCCTTCAGACCCTCAGACCCACCGACCCTTAAAACCCCCGACCCCCAGACCCCTCAGACCCTCCGATCCTCAGACCGACCCCGCCAATTTAAGGACTGTACAGACCGCGCAAGATTTTTAGGCCCACGTATTTTAGGCCCATGCGCCCGGCAGCCTAAAACGCGCGCCTACGCCGACCAGAGTTGCAGTTTTGCGCGCATTTCTGTGCAACTCAAAGGCTGCCTTGTGCAAAATTGTTGCAGTGGCTGCGTGTTCTACGCTGAACTTCTGTTTATTTCTGACGTTCCTTCCAGGTAAATAACGTTAAAATAACGTCGATTATAAACAACATTAAATTACCGTTATTTCAATGTCAGATGTCTGTTCGGTCGTCATGCCTATATGGTCTGATAGATTTTAACGTTAAACTCTTTCAAGCATAAAAGTTTTGGCGACATTAGCATCCATGGCTGAGCGATTTTTACTGGCTATAGTTATTGCCAGAATTTTCAAATATTCGTCAAAAAAATGAATTATATAGCTTACTGCACCTGTTAAAATTTACTGCCAATTATTTCACGGTCCAAAAACAGTGGCTATAGGCAATTTGATAAACTGAAAAAATTACATTGTTGTGTTAATTAAATATGTTGTGAAAAAGGTGAAAGGGATAACCGGTTTTATTTATATATGGTGCAGATGAATAATTCCCCTTATATTCACGTGAGTATTTATCGAAGCGCAAATTGTCGTTCGTGATAAGTGCGGTTTTCGTACAAAAAAATGTTTAATGTGAATAACCAAGCGCCTTATATGAATGATAACGTCTTTATTTAAATTCTGAGCATAAAACTAGAATTAACAAGTTATTATTTTTAATTCCAGTTATTAATTTCTTATTATTATTAATTTATTATCCTGTTTGTTTTCTTCTGTTTTGCGCTACAGATTACATATAGAATAAACATTATAAGCCGTCACTCGTTAAGCAAATATTTATTGGACCCTGAAACGAACGACATAAGTTAGAGTAAAAACAATCTATTTATTCTAGATTCGGAACCTCAATTCTCACAAAAAAATGGATTCTGGTTATGAATAGTGGATTTTTAAAACAATTTACCTATAAGTTTACCTATCATTTACATATCAACTGCCAAACTAACAGCCATAGCTCTACGAAATTAATTGTTGCGCGTCATGCTTCACATCTACACGCAGAAAAATGAAAAAATGCATGTGTGAATGGGATGGATGGGACACAGCAAGAGTTAAGTGACACACTATAGTTTATTGCTGCGGGGACTGAGAAGTCCTTTATCCGGTCCAGACCAGGTGTAGATGACCCACATAACGGCAAGGGCGTCGCATATTTGGACAAAGTCTCATATATTTCTCTCAGTGTCTGATGATTTATGAAATTGCGTTAAATACTTATAGAGTATTAGTATTATGGCAATTTGTATATGTTTGTATATATATAGTATTGAACTAAATAGTAATAGATTTGTATATACTAGATTAGTAGCTTAGATTAGTATAGTATTAGACTAGTATATAGCAATAGATTAGTATTAGATTAGTTGTATTGTCAATAGTACAGCAATAAAAGTTTTATTGGCCTAATAGTAGTATATATACATGCTGCAGGATCTAAATTCTATGAATGATTTTGAACGATAATCACGCATGCCATAAAAGATTTACTATTCAGTTTTGATTGATTAATCCATAATTCATCTTTAATGAATTAAGGGTTCATTTAAATTGAATGAATAAAAGCAAATTTAATATTCGATGTGAATGAGCTGAACGGGTATTGATAATTTTTAATATAATACGAATGAATGAAGTCTTTTTCTTCAATTATATTGCGAATGTTCGACGCGTTAATCCTACATAGAGGAAGGCTTATAATTTAATTTATAATATGCATAATTATAATTTATTAATTAAGCAACAGTTAATCTCATACAGAAATAAAATACGCGCATTTGATTGAAAATTCGAGAATTACTCGAAAAAACCGACGCCACTAATGGGAACGTGGGAATACTTAGTATATTATTAAGTTGGCTTATGCATATTAAAATAATTTTTATTATTCAAATATATGACTCATATAATGTATGTTCAGGATATATATAGTATGTGAAAGGGTATAGTTACCGCAAAATATAGGACATATATTTAGAGTTCAAATGTATATATAAGACAATTATATATTGTGCCAAATGTTTATTTTTGTCACAATATTTATATGGTGCTAAAAGTTATAGAATATAAGACGTCTATAAAATATAAGACATATGAAATATGATACTTTTAGGCTGTAGTACGTTTACAATTGCCTACTATATATAGGAATTATGTTCAGCAGCAGTATTATAGTGTCCACATATATAATAGATTTTGGGCGGTAATAACATATTTGATGATATTCGACAACCACGGATGGGTATAATCATGGATTAGATTTGTTGTGGATTTCAAAATAATATGGTTGTTTACAAGTGGATTTTTTTGTTCTAAATGATAATTGATTATTATTAGGTAAATTCTTCAAGTATGACAGCCATGTTAGATATCGACGAGTACAGTATTGAAATTTCGGTATGAAAATAAGACTCTAATATAAATAAGATAACAACAAGAGATTAATAAGATAATTCAATAGGATAACTTAATGAAAGAAAAGAAAATGAGAAGAATAACAAGATAAGAATATTCTCCTTCATGGCGACGTTTTTAAGACTCTTGACGTTCCAATAGTCAACATCGTGCACGAATTTCCTGCACTGCCAAGACTAAGATCTCAGTGGAGGCCTACAGCTCCTTTCACTACCTAGGCCTATTGAGGAGCTGGCCATTTTTTAGGCATACATAGCGGCTCTTAATTGGACTAAGAGGCATGGTGCGTTTTTACAGCCCGGTCCTGTTATTAGAGTTTCTCGAAACTTACGCGCCTGAAAAACTCCTTCAGGAATCGTGCGTCTAAGACACTAAAATAATATTATATATTCTGTCTAGGAAATTAACCAATCAACTGAGCTCTTTTACTTTTCTAAAGTTTGTTCTAGACGCTGATTCGCCCTAGAATTTTACAAAGCAGGATCTTGGATCTAGCGATCGATTCAACGTCCCACAGAAATGGTGATTCAAAGCTCAAGTCTCATTATTCTCAATGGGAAGACGAAGAAGTAATCGGAAATTACCGTCGTTTAATAATGAAGCAAATGTGGCCCAGAGGGACCGAGCTTCATTGGCTGTTCGCAAGTGGTGGGCGTGGCCTTGTGGTTCCTTATGTGACACGCCTACTTCAAAATTAATATCTTCAAGCACAAAAATGTATGATTAGTCAATTCAAATTAATCATTTTAGTACATTTGAAGGAATTTATTCCGATATTTTCTCGATATCGAAATTTTGAGAAAATATTCATCTGAAGTATAAGTGGGTTGATTCGTCATTCGGGCATTACGAGGATTAATTATTCATAAATTGCTTAAATGTTTTTTTCGATTAATTTTCAATCTCCTCGAAGATTCACACAAATTCCCTACTCTAGTCTCCAATTAAATTCTCAATTAGTGTGACTTTATCTAGATTTTATTAATATATATATTAAAAGGGGATTTGGAAGGCGGAGCCTAATTATCCTTGTGGCAAGATCCTGAGGAGGCTTCATATCCATGCCAAATGTCACCATCAGCTCGTGAGAATGCGTGAGGCCTTAATTACTGACAATACATCACAATTACGGTAGGCTCTGCACTATTCAAGTTCCAAAATATATCATCGCTAAAATAAATTTTTGATTTTAGTGTTTCTTAAATCAAGTTGGTAAACTAACATGATCTTAGAAGCTCCTCATTGGGCAAAAAATGTTTATGATTGCAGCGCATGGAAGCGTGTGGCAACTGCAACGCTCTTGCAAGACGAACTAGTTCCTTTTGGTGCACATCATTATTGCATCTTGGCATTCGCTGAGGACAGCATCCTTCTCCAGGCATCCTCGTGCAAGCTTACCTTACTTGCTAATTTTGAACTGAACTTCTTACTTGCACTGCTCGATGATTTATTTGAGTGTCGTTCACTCACTGAGAATTTAGACACGCGGTTGTCCACTTCCGTCAGTCAGTGCTGGCGCCGGTATCCTGGATACGCGCGGCTCTGCAACACAGCACGGTAAGGCCGTAGACCTGAGTAGGCCTACATGCAGATAAATGCGTGGGAATTTGTCCAAATGATGATGCTCTTTTTTGCTACCGTGTTGATCATTCTGACCCAGTTTGGTCCTGCAGAAATGCGTACGAGTGTTATGTGTAGAAAGTGTGCCACTATTTGGACAACATGACACATTAGTTTTTCTGGGTGTATGCAGGCCTAGGGGCTGTAGGCCTATAGGCTAAGATCTGATCTGTGTTTTAGGGCTTGATGGTAAAAATTATATTATACACGAATTGTTTATGGGAAGTTCAGTAACGTTTGCAATTGATTACGGTGAGCGATGTCAAGCAACAGGACACATTTTCTTGTTAATTATTTTTTTTTGGCGGTAACTTAATTAATATGAATGGCGATGCTAATGCCGGTCAATGCAAGACATTTATATCCACCGACAAATTAAATGATCTCTATATGTATGCAGGCCGAATTTTTTTGCTGAATCCGATTTTGTGATAAATCTATTAGCTTTATTTATCGACTGAGGTTCAATCTTTGAAATCAAAATTTGTTAATTTAGAACGAAATTCTTTCGGAGTGTTTAGCCAAGAGTAATTGCTATAGCAGGAACCAACTTATATATATATGTATATATTAATGGATGGCTCGATGTAAATCTTCATAACTCAATCTTCGAGTAAAAATATCATGTTCTTATAACAATGTTCACTAATAAGTACCATTATGTTACTAATGAGTGAGAAAAACTCCTGTCTTGGAGTGTTACAAATACGTGTTGGAAAAACTTGAGAATATTCGTAGAGCAAGTCAACTAAGATTTATATATTCTGTCGGATTGAAGTTTCAATTATATAAGCATTTTTTTGTAGTATTGATAAACGTTTTAAAATTAGATTTGAAGAAAATTAAATATATACGCCATTACGCCGGCCTGCTACATAATGCGTCTATACTATATATTCTCAAGGTATATATTCTCACTGTATATATATTCTCAGATAGGTATTTCTAATAATTTTTTGACGAATGGTTAGTGATTAAATATTGAGAGTTTATCATGAATTTACATTTGATTAATCTCAAATAGACATGCAATGCACCAAAATAAAGAAGTAGCATATATTTATTGCTAATTAATGATTATTAAAATAAGTCACTTATAGAATTAATTTAAATTATTGTACGATATTTTCGCCTGAATTTACCTGATAATCCTAAGAATGTTGTAATTGGTATAAGTTCTAATTATAAAGTTAAATATATTATATTTAGTTTAACTCTTCCTGTTTAATGACATTTTTAATCTACGTATAAATTATTTTAAGTTAATAGAATATAAAAAGTTACACTCTCTGTACTTATTCTGGCTACAACAGCCAAGCATATTTTTATGTGCAATATTTTCCACTGACAAATTAATGTACTGATGGAAATAAATATCACGATTTACTTTTTTTTCAAAGAGCCGTTCCTAAATTGCAAGCCTTTCAATATATTATTAAGACCCACATTTTTTGTACGATAGTCCACAAATTCTCAGATAAGCTCAGTGTTTTTTGAGATCTTATTTTCAGGCAAGTGTATATAGTCCATCTCAATATTTTTAATGAGTTTGTGCACTTCCTTTTTTCCATAAGTATATGCTCTTGAACTAAAAGTTGACTGGTACTGTTTTATATGTTTTATTGTGAAATATTTTTATCTCTAACTACAAGCCTCCCCTATTTTAAATTTTTTTATGATATACAATTTTTTTGCTGTGAAGGAACTGATTTACAGACAGGATAAATCTCCATTATTACTTCCTACCAATTACTTTGATAATCCGTTAATAATACTCACATGTTGTTAACAAAAATTTTCATGAATTATACCTACTTTAACTCATCATTATATTCCTGTGATATTTCAAGGTAAAATCATCACCCAAATATCCAGCATCAGTTGGGAATCCTAATCATAATTTTTTTATAGGCAGATGCAGTCCCGAAATAATTTTTAATAAACGAAAAATTTATATTTTCATACTTTTCTGTAGTCCAAAAAATTTCACGTACTTAATTGTCTCATTGTGTCTTGTTTCATTGAAGTGATGTCGTACAATTAATTGTTCAGTGTTGTCTATATCACGATTCCTTGCAAGTTATTTTAACTGAGAATATTTTCAGGACTCGCCATTCCTCGGCCTCGCAATCTGAATCAAAATTCATCCGTGATTCACAAGATATGCTGGTAAGATAACAATTAATCTCGATGATATAATCGGCTTTAGAATAATCTCTATATTTAATTCCATTGAATATTCTGCCAATTTTGATTAATAATCTTCAGTGTTTAAGTTGAAAGCGCGGAGACGAAAAATTTGTTACTCGTCCAAAATTCGAATTTTCAAGGCTTGTCATGTTACATGCATGATGAATGAAATGAACGACTCATGTTTGTATAAATGCATGTGCGTGAATATTGGCATAAGAAATCAGGTTTATTTTACCTAGTCCCATTGTAAAAGTTAACAAATTTTTGGTGAACAAAATTAAAACTACATGAATAAATTTCTAAAAACTGTTATTAAATAGGTTATTTTAAAGTTTGCTTTCAACGGGAAAATCTAACTGAAAAGCCTTGAATTAATTAAGTGACCCCTAAAGTAATAAAATTTGGAAAGCTGATCGTGATTCAATTTTGTTAAGTGCCAGGCTGAACTTTATTTTCTATCACGAGCTCAAGTGAATTAATTTTTTTTCATGCAGTGTTTTTCATGCTTATTAATCAACCAAATTCATTAGCAAAATAACATCATTTCTCTGCATATAAGTTTATACTTTCTCTTCAGCATTACTTTCGAACCATGCAGCGATATTACCAATGTAAAAAGAAATTTAATCTCTGCAACTCCGTCAACTAATCTATAAAATTCATCAGTAGAACAAAATTCTTTACGAATTAATTTTGCATATTTTCTTTATTGTACGAAGATTTTCACGATAAAAACTACAATAAATTACCTATATAGATATATTACACAAATATTACACATATTTAACTTGTCCACGAGAGCGCATTTTTTAATATAAAAAACTTTAATCTGCAAAATATCTTAATAGAAAAAATTCTTTACGAAGTATTTAACCCATCAAAAACTATTTCTTGTAACGCCACGTCTTGCCGGAGTTTTTACGGCAATAAAGCCACGGAAATTCCATACCGGAAGAGTTTCTCTCTCTCACGGCTCTTGAGTGCTGCTCGCAAACAACGCTCGCAAATAAACATTCCTTCGAAACTTTTCGCTTCAAGTGCTGTGAGAAACAAAACTGTCGTCGGACAAACTGAGATTCAACTAAGCTAGATTGGCAAAACTGAGATTAAACTGGCATCGAGAAACTGGGATAAAACTGGTATCAGGTAAACTGCGATAAAACTGGTATTCGAGAAACTGCGATAAAACTGGTATCAGGTAAACTGCGATAAAACTGGTATCAGGTAAACTGCGATAAAACTGGTACTGGGTTCGGATTTTTGCAAGACAATTGCCGTCTCAAATTTTCGGATTTATGTCCTGCGTCTGCGGCCGCCGGAGCCGCAGACGCAGAACGGCGGCGCCAGCGCCCCCCCCCCCGTTGTCTGTGTCCAATCTGTACGTGGTTCTTGTGCGATCAGTTAGTTAATGATTAATTCTTCACAGAACGGTGCTAATTTTTCGCAAAAAAAGTTAAAAAATATAACTCAGTACTCACTGCAGTGAGTGACAGAGCATTTTCTCGTCGACGAAAGCGTGAAGTCACGGACAGACGGACGGATATGACGAGCACAATATAGCCTTTTTTCCATAAATGAGAAAATGCGCTAAAACGGAAGACTTCTATGTTTATCATCATTCTCTATAATCAGCCTCATGTCAGAGTTGATGCCACTGAACATAAGAATATATAACTTCTTAATCATATTTTTGCACAAGTTATGAAAACTACACTAATACACAATATACTGTTTAGGCTTCGAATTTTATTGGCCAGTTTTTAAATAGTTTGGTAAATATGTTAAAAACATTTTATAGATTTTAAGTTTTTAACTTTCATTGTGCTTATCATATAATTCACTGATCACATTTTAATTCCTGGAATAACTTGTATAGTTTTAAAAGCTACGAATATTCCTAAATTTTCAATATGTTGCATTCCGTTTCAATTCAAGAGAATTTTTTATTAAAAACTCTTGAATGGGTTCAAAATTAATCGACCAATTCTAATAACACTTTTGAAGAATTCAGTTTTATTGTCCTTGAATCATAATCACAGTAAATTGGGTATAAAAAACATGTGCATATTTATATGTTGTTGCTGTTTTTAAATTTTTACAAAAAGTTAAATGAATATAATTACAGTAGCCTTGTTCTCGTTCGCAGTATTTTTGACTTATAGTCGACACTGATTAAAATTTACAATATTAGGTAATAATAAAAAAAATTTCGACTTACAACCAATAATGAATATTTATGACTTATCGCTAATAATAATGAATATTTCTAAGTTATATCGAAAATTATTAATCTAGCTGACTTATGGCTAAGAATACCGAATAATTTGTGAGTATAGCTAATAATATAGAATATTTCAGAATTTATGCCAATAATAATGAATATTTATGATTTTTCGCATATTACAATGAATATTTATTATTGTTCGCATATAATGAAGAATATTTCTGACTCCCTGCATATAATAATGAATATTTCCTACTATTAGCTAATGATAGTTATTATTATTTGACTGTTGTCCATGCAATACCAAGAAGAAACGTTGCTCGTATTTTGACGTTTGCCAAAAATAAGAGCAACAGACATCATTAGAACAGGAAACGACAGTATATTATACTTCAGTTCATTGCGTCGAAGAAAACCATAATCACGTTCTCAGAATGATGTTTTGTAGGCGACAATAATCTTCCTTAAATATTTTTCACTTTTTGCTACTAAGCATTTGAGAAAATTTTAAAGCCTATAAACCTCCAGTAATTTAAATATGGTTACAAGTCCCATCATCATTGTTGCTCATATGTTATTTGGGTCTCGCTTCACTTCGCTAGAAAATAAAAGCGAAAACAAAATAGTACAAAAAGTCATCATTTTCCATTTTCGGTCCCATATCAGCTATTCACAAATTTAAACTTCGGCATATATATTGACTATAATCACGAATTAAAATTATTTATTCAGGCAGTAATTGTTATACTAATAAGAATTACCCGACTACGCATGATTTTTATGCGTTTTTGTACCGAAAACTTACCTTAAACTTGCATGGTCGAGTGCAATGAAGCAATTTTGCGAGACACTACCCGATCAGAACTCGTTCTTACTTTGATAATTATAATTAAACGCTCATAATTTTTATATCCTAGAGTTACAAAATTACGTTATATGAGTCATATGTAACTAAAGCCTATCGCGTTTAATCGAACGACAATAAAAAAAGAGGTTACAAAAAATAATCGGTGACGATAAGAGTTATTTGAAAAATGACTAGATATAATAACACTTTATTTTCCGCATTCACATTGACGTTACTGGCAGTGTGTGATAAACTTTGCCCATAATCCTATTCTTTTTAATAGTTAACCTCATCAAACGAAGCAAAGGTTTAACAAACGCCACGCACTTGCAAGTCTGATCACTGCAGCACTTCCAGAGCAACTGAACATATTTCTACATTTATACCTCAAAATAAGTTCAGTGGCGTGAGAAAACTCGTTTTTCTACGAAATTCCAAGCACAGATTCCTGGTTTGCAAAAATGACCGCGATCGCAAAACTTGACCGGTTTCCCTTAGCTTCCGCGCTTTTTGCGGAAGTTGAGTCTGAATTTCAACGGACCCTCTCACATTCGATGGTCACTTGCATACACATTCAATGGTGCCATGCACATTCGTCGGTCCCACAGACATTCGATGGTCCCTTACACATTCGACGGTCACTTGCATACACATAAATGGTGACATACACATTCGTCGGTCTTACAGACGTTCGATATATATAGTCCCTTACATATTCGACGGTTCCAAACTTATACATTCAATTGTGTGCCACACACATTCGACGATCCCACAGACATTTGATGATACCATATACACATGGCAGCGAAAGCTTCAGTAACTACACGAGACATTTCACTCGGGCAGTTTCAAGTTCTGCATGCACTGTTTTAGAAAATCTTCGTATTATTGAGATTTTCTGCCGTTGTGCTTCATTGAAATGATCCAGTGAGAATAATTCGCGATCAGCGTTCGGAACTAGTCGATACAATTCATAGTTATGCCCATTACCAGCAAATTTGTAGTTTTCGGGTTTCGGACAGCTTCGTTGCTGGCAAACCTAGATAAATATCTTCATGTGGTCATATACGGCAGCAGCATGCAGCCGTGGCATGACGACCATCGCAGCAGCATGCAGCCGTGGCATGACGACCATCGCAGCAGCATGCAGCCGTGGCATGACGACCATCGTAGCAGCATGCATGCAGCCGTGGCATGATCACTCACCCTCACGCTACTCTCTCTCTCTTTCACGGCGCGTAAAAATACCCTTTAAAAAACCGGAAATCTCAAAACCGGTCCTGGGATGACTCCTTACTCCCACTTTTATTCTTGCGTGCGCTTCATTTTTATTATGGTGCGGACTTATCCTTTGGTTGTGCTTGTGTCGCATGGAACCGGTTGTGCGCATGCGTATTGTGTGGTGCTTATTGCGCACAGAGCGCGCGCTGGTGTGCGGTGTCGGGACGCGGGTTGCATGCAGGCTGCGCATGAAAGGCGCATGAAAGGCGCATGAAAGGCGCATGAAAGGACAGAAAGAGTAATAGTTGCTCGACAAACATGCACGTTTTATTCCCTGACTTCAAAAGCAAATTAAGCAACAAGCAGATTATTATGGCACGCTCTTATTCTAATGTTGGTTATACTGCATTTTATACTGCATAATTATTATTGCACGCTCTTATTCTAATGTTGGTTATACTGCACACACCATAACAAATAAAGTAATGGGAAGATGTTTTCTGAATATAACTGGATAATTTATGTAACTTTTCAAAGCCTATATAATTTAGAAAAAGATATCCAACAGAAGGTACCTATTGTATTCGTATTAACATTTGCGAATTTTTTAATACGACAGGGCGATGCATCCATAAAATTTTATTAAGTAGAAGCTAGATCCATTAAAGCTACCTGTGAAGTAAA